GCCGCGACCGCCCCCCCCCGCCCCCCCCCCTTTAAAAAAAGTATTAATCTAAATTACAGTTTTTCTCATTTGCTAAGACATGCTTAATGAAACTGGGATCCACTTGATCTTCATCATCACATTCTTAGCACAGCAGAAGTCTTCTCTTGCAAAACACTTTTTCATTTGTTTCACACATTTTTCACATCCTTTGTCAAAACAGTCACTACAGATCTCATTGAAAGACCCCAAACTCTACTGGATTCACTGTGTTGAACAAAAGGAAAACATTTATTCACAGCTGATAGAAAGTACTTGCATAATTATGAATTTCTAGTGCACCTCTGTGAAACTCATTTGCACAACTCTTCAATCAGCAATCAGTCCTTATCCCTCTATAAAAGATTCCACCTCTGTCCTGCTATTTGCAAGTATGGATCAAAGAGACCAAAGGCATCGAAGGAGAGTAAGAGAGCATGGCAGAGGGCCAGAGAAAGAGGAGTTTGCATACTTGGTGGAGGAGCTGCATTAAGGAGAAAATACAGCTCAAGTTTCAAATGAAATTCAGGCAACAATTATTGACCATAAGTCATAGCTTGTCCTTTTGAGAGGCTGGACAAAGGGTCCAACCCATTCTGAGTCAGAGCACTGTGGCATCTATTACCAGGCTTTTTTTCAAAATGACAACAGATAAGTCACAATGTTACTGTATACCACTGTATATTTCAGTTTTACTGTATTGCCCTGTTGGCAGAACGAACTTTGTCTACAGTAATGCAGATGTTTCATCAGTCCCATTTTTGTGTTTGTTCTAATGTCAATTTTGATATGCTTTGTTTGGATTTGTTATTGTAATGCAATGTTATACCATTGTTACATGCAACTGGAATAATTTGCTCCATGAATTTGCTTTTTTAGAGAATAATGTACTTTTAAGCTCACGGGGCACATCACAAATTCATTTGTGGATGAAGTTAGCTTCAACCTCTGTAAAGTGAGGAGACGCGGGAGGAACATTTATTGGGCAGAGGGTCACTGTTGCAGTGCCAGGTCAGAGGGGTGCCAATATCACCATGTGTGCTGCCATCTCCAATGATGTCCTTTGCCACATACAAACTATCAGTTCAATACAGAATGCCTCATCACATTTCTTGATGCACTAAATGAAAGACTGGTTTCACCTAAAGTGAGAGGGCTGTTGATGGATTTGCCATGCAAGGAGGTATTTCCATTGGTGCATTGCAACACTGCAAGGGAAAACATCCAATTTGAAGTTCCGAGTATTTCAACTCTTCATTTTGTTTTTTAGATATTACCACCCATAAGTTTCCTCTTTTTTTTAAAAACTATATTCAACACTTCTGAGTTTGAACAGTGTAATTTCATATTGATAGCTGTGTTTTGTATTTTGTTGTCCATTGTGTAATGACTGATTGAAAGAATAAATTAATTTGACCACAAGCTGTGGTGTTTGATGGAAGTATTTGCTTATGTTGCATGTTTTTAATGTTTTGTGAGTGTTGGAGCATTTTGCAAACAAAATTAGTCATTTTGGCCATTGGACGAAGTACACAAATCAAGTACTTGAGTAAAAGTACAGATACGTATAATAAAATATTACTCCAGTAAAAGTAAAAGTACTTCTTTTTCAATTTTACTCGAGTGAAAGTACAAAAGTACTCGATTTTTTTATGTACTTAAGTAAAAAAGTACTGATAGATTTATTTAGCAATTTTATATAGGCTACTTAATTTAAATTTATATTAGCACATATTTTTTATAATACCTGGGATTTTCCCAAAATAACCACTATATGGAGTCAAGATATATTTTTGTTGTTGATATGGACTACGTTGACGAGGATGAAGTAAATGAAGCTTACACTGCAATGTACCTGAGAGAAAACAGATCTGATCATCTGATTTTCACCAGTAAGAAAAAAAGAAAAAAAAGCTTGTTGTTTTGCAGAACATCACAGTTATAT